CTTTCTTTCTTTCTTTCTTTCTTTCTTTCTTTCTTTCTTTCTTTCTTCTCCATTTCCTTATTGGGCAGATCTTTTGGCCTTCTGCTTTCTAGTTCTTAAGCTTCCCAGTCTATAATGGAAATGATAGCTTGATGGCTTTTTGTTCCTTTCCAGTAGCTCAAATGAAATGACTAGGAAATAAGTGTTCTCCCATTCTTTTAAACACAGAATAGGATTATGGAATTCTTGATATTACCTAAATGGGTAATGAAACATCTACAAGAAAACAACCAGAGGGCACCAAGGATTCTACAATTCAAGCCTGAGCTACAAATATTCTCTCTGATTGGTACAGAATAGGAATTCCTCTCTTCTAATCTCTTTAGGAGATGAGGATATTTTTGCCCCTGTAGTGACCCAATGTTTCAGCTGCAAAGTTTTGGGAGTTGAAATTTATGCATCTTAAAATGGACAAGGTTGAGACACATTCATAACTAAAATCATAACAACATTCCAAGAAAGAATGACAAGCAAGAATTTCACAAAGAAACATAATTTGTTTTGGGAAATAGTAAATAGAACCAATCGTATGGATGAAGTGACATATTTGTCAAAAGAGTAAGATTCTCAGAAAAATCAGCTGTAACACTGGACTTTTGATATTCTGGAAATATTATCAAGAATTAAAATTGTGAATATTTTAATATTTTGCTACATTGACCACCAAACAAGAAATGTAAATTACTGGATGAATATAAACAATCATAACCACCAGCCACCCCACCCCTCAACATCTTGAACTCCATTTCAGACTTGGTCCTTAATTCTCTCACCTGTTTGCTTTGATAGATGGGTAAACAATCATTTTTACCATTATCTTGAGCTTGTGTGATTAACGATTCGTGTATATTTTATGCCAGCTTCTTTAAATAATAATAAAATTGATTATAAAATTGCTTGCTTTGTTCTGTAGTAGACTTGGGTTTCAGTAAAAGAAGAAGGAAAGGCAATTTTGGCATCACAGAATTATTTATAACTTAATTCTTAGCCACTTAAAATTTAATATGTCTTAGAAGGGAAGCTTTTTTTAAAAAGCTGAATATATCTTTAACAGCTAATTCTAACAGCTGCATTTTAATTCTAATTGATTCTAATTCTAACAGCTGCATTTTACAATGGTAACTTGTCATTTTTCCTATGAAACATACATCTTTGCATATGTCTTCTGCTGCAATGGATGAACATTACCATATTGTTCTTTGTAACAAAAGATGTAGGCTTGAATCAAACAGTGCCCTTAATTAATGGAAATAGGTTTATAATTGAGCTAAAGGAGTTGATAATTTCTCTGAAATACCCCCAACATGAATCAAATTCCACCATCCTGACCTCTGAAAACCCCGTTTTTGAGAAACACTTTAGACTTCACTGAGAACAAGAAAAAGAACATCGCTGTTCCTTAAATAGGTTCCTGTTCAGAGTTCATCAAATCCAGAGTAATAGATAATATTCCACCCAATATGTTCTGTTGTCCCATTATTAAAACCATGAAGTTGAGATATAGTTCTCCATTAGTAAGTGAATATGATTACTAGCCAATTATTTTTTTAATTCTAGCACAAAGATTTATTTATTTGTTTGTTTATCAAATGTGTATAGCTGCCCATCTCACCAAAAATGAATCTGGGCAGTAAAGGAAGTTAATACGTATTATAATCTTATTTGCCAATGAAGTCTCCATTCAAGAAACTAAATTCAATCCATTAAACAGAATATGCAAAATAACTATCTTTTTCCCCATTCTGCATAAGGACAGATTTTGGAAAGAGGTGGTTTCAAAACAAAATCATAACTTTTTCCACTCTCTAATATATAATAAAAAACAGCCTAATTTATTCAGTCATATGGTTTTGGTGCAGCTTCAAATTCAAGCAAATTCATTTAATATCATTTCATTTCAATTTACAATTAATTAAGTCTTGTAAATGTGATTTCAATGGAATTGAGAAGCTGCCTATAGGGAGTAGTGAGACATAGATAGAAAGTTGAGGGTTTCCTCTTTCCTTTCATTCTGCTTGCTAACTTCAGAGCTACATCGTTCTGCTTTTCTTTTCAGAAATATAAGTATTCATTTCTTGACTACATGGGGATAGACCAGGGGTTGGAGACCTTAAACACTCAAAACGCCATTTGGACCTGTTTCCCACAGAAAAGAAAGCACCGGGAGCCACAAAACCTTTCCCATGCCTGACTATTTCCTGAGCAGCCACAAAAGACATGATAGCAGTGTTTCAATATTTGAGGGGCTGCCACAGAGAGGGAGGGGTCAAGCTATTTTCCAAAGCATCTGAAGGCCAGACAAGGAATAATGGATGGAAACTGAACAAGGACAGATTCAACCTGGCAATAAGGAGAAACTTTCTGACAGTGAGAACAATCAACCAACAGCTTGCCCTCGGAACAGCTTGTCCTCAGAAGTTGTGGGAATGTCATCACTTGAGACTTTCAAGAAGAGATTGGACTCCCATCTGTCAGAAATGGTGTGGGTCTCCTACTTGGGCAGGGGGTTGGACTAGATGACCTACAACGTCCCTTCCAATTCTGATTATCTGTTATCTGTAAAACTAGCATATATAGTTGAATTAAAGATTTTGTTTTCTTCTGAAACTTTTCTTTTCTTGGTTTTATCCATGGTTAAGCTACTGGGGGTCGAAAAGCTCAATAATTAGCATGCCAGTGGGTGTCACACATTGACAGTTGTGATGCATATTTTGAGAGACAGGGAGCTCCAGCAAAGGGATGAAAGAGCCACATGTGGCTCCAGAGCCGCGGGTTGCTGACCCCTGAGATAGACTGAGCAAAAGATGTCATTCTACTTGTAGACAGCTGTGCCTACCTCGAAGTAGAGCAATGAACTGGACGAGCAAAAAGCAGAGATTGCCTCTCAATAAGTATGGGAAAGAAGAGCCAAACCCAACACTCTTGTTTGAGATCCATCAATGACTAATCAAATCTCCTGAATGAGAATACTAAACCTAAGTTAAATGCACCTACATTAAGTATGACTATGTGATAGATGCTTTAAGAAAAGGGATTTGTTAAACAGATACTACCCATAGAAGAAAAGCTACATAGAAGAAGCTTTTGCCTACAGATTGACAGTGTGTTCTTCAAGAGATTATGGGAGTTGTGAATCAGCATAGGAAACTATGAAAGGCAGGAGATGGGGTATAGTTAGTTAGGGATTTGTTCTGAACTTGACTTTTATTCTCTCTGCTTTTTGTTTATGAGGTTGATAATCTCTGAGTCTTTTTTTCCTGCCTTTGCCCCTCTGTCTAGATGCATACATTCTTGGTTATATGGTTATACTGATAGAATGTAGAGCTAGAAAAGGCTACATCTTTTCCCCTTACTTCCTCAATTTTTATTTTTATTTTTTGATTAAAATAAAAAGGCTGCTCAGGTTCGTTTCCTGCTTTGAGGAATACCTTCCATATAGATAAATTCTCTTCATTCCAATTTTAAACAGAGTGGCACATTAGATCATACATTTAGATAAAACGCTTCAGTTTGTCTGCTTTCATAAACATCTCATGCCCTTTAAGAAAGCCATCTCCAGTGCCTGCCTCCTTCTCAAGGCATTTTTGACTTCCTTGTTCCTCAGGCTATAGATCAAAGGATTCAGCATTGGAATCATTATGGTATAGAAGACGGAGGCCCATTTATCCTGATCCAGAACATAGTTGGAACTTGGGCGCAGGTACATAAAGACCGTTGTTCCATAGAAGATGATTACAGCTGCCAGGTGGGAGGCGCATGTTGAAAAAGCCTTTTGTTTCCCCTCAGATGAATTAATCCGTAGGATTGCTGTCAAGATGAATGCATACGACACCATAATTTCTGTTGAAGTAAATATTCCCAGGATTGTTGCAAAAACAAAGAGCACCATTTCGTTGATGCTTGTGTCAGTACAAGAAAGAGACAGCAAAGGGGGAACATCACAGAAAAAATGGTTGATGACATGGGAGTCACAAAAAGAGAGCTGAAAGGTAGAAGCTGTTTGTGTCACTGCATTCACCAAGCCAATGAGGTAAGATCCAGCCACCATCACAGTACACACTTTGGGGGACATGGTAACCACATAGAGGAGAGGATTACAGATAGCCACGTAACGATCATACGCCATCACTGCCAGGAGGATACACTCAGTACTTGCACAGAAAATGAAAAAATACATCTGTGCAGCACAATTAGCATATGAAATGCTTTTCTCGTCTGCCAGTATGTTTGCTAACATTTTTGGGGCAATGGCTGAAGAATACCCAAAATCTAAGAAAGACAAATGACTGAGGAAGAAATACATAGGGCTCTGAAGCTGAGAGCTTATTCTGATTAATATGATCATCCCCAGATTGCCAGTCAGTGTAATTAAATAGATAATTAGTATCACAATAAAAGACAGCAGCTCCATCTTTGGACTATTCACTAAACCTACCAAAATAAATTCAGTCATCTTTGTGTGGTTTTCTTCAATCATTTCTCTTCAGTAATTAAAAACTGTTGAAAGACAAATGTCTAGTCTCTTCAATGGCATCAGATCTGTAATATATAAAAAAGGATGTTTTATAAGGATCTGTATCTTCTCCAAGGCTTTGCAGATGAAGCTTAGCTGCCACTGATAATGCAAAACATCAGGATGTGCAATAAATCAAAACAAAGACCTTTAAATTTAATCACGAAGAAATATTCCTCAACAATCCTTTTTCTGATATATCCCCATGATGCTGTTTTGTGTTTTTTTTATTGGTTTTTAAAAACAAATATAAACAAACAAAACATAAAAACATCAAGCTATCTTCCATATGTGTACATACAGTGTACCGGTTGGTTTACAAATTGTTTTGTGCTTCCATTTCATAGTCTTCAATTACAATTACATTGCATATAATCTCATATTTTCAATCAAAAATTAAATACCTTAGTATCATTATTAATCAATCATTTGACTATACTTTTATTCATTCATGTTTTACAAGATAATCATAATTTACTTAGTTTATTTTATAACAGTTCATATTATCATCCCAAATCTATCCTAAAATCATTTTGTAGATATAATAAGAAAGAAGTACATCTTTATATATTTATTATTTTCTAAAAGTCTACATATTTCATTACTGTATTTTATTGTCTAACCATTGATAGAAAAGATCCCAAATTTTATAAAATAGTTTATCCTCTTGTTCTCTAATTTCAAATGTCAATCTACTCATTTCAGCACATTCCAATATTTTCTTAATGATTTCCTCCTGTGATGGTGTGTTCTCATTTTTCCAGTTTTTAGCAAATGCAATCCTAGCCGCTGTTAATACATTTACAATCAGGTATTTCAAGTCTTTACTCCGCCCTCTCCCATGATGCTGTTTTTATCTTATCTCCAACCCATCACCACAGGAAGCATTAACTCAGACTTAGCTTTTCTGCTCTTAAAATATTATTTTCCCCTGTAGCAGGAAACATGATAATTTTACTGCAGATACAAGCTAAGACACTTCATTGGTCATTCAAAGGGTAGTGAGGCCAAGTAACTCCTAGAAGATGGATCTACACTTGGCAGGTGAAGTTCCTAAGCATCTTTTGATCATTCTAGGTTGATACGCTCATACTATTCTCCTGCCAGTCCCTGGATACTATTCTCCAAGGACTTTTTGATTGTGGAAGAAGAATTGTGTGATTTTTTCAAACTGCACTCTCCCCAAACTGAACCAGAAGTCTTGGCTTTGAAAGAGGGTTCATCATAGGGAGAAGCCTGAGAAGTGAAACCAGCTTTGTTTCTGCTTAGTCATCCACAGCCATGATCTGCTGTGAAACAGGTTTATTTTGAGCACACATTTAATGCTCTGTGGCACATAACCTACCTTAGCTTCAAAATAAACAAAATAAATAATAGCTAACTGACAGCAGCAATGGGAGATAATTGCTCAGCAGTTAGCCAAACTCATTTCCAATGCACCAACTCAAAACACTTGCATGCCAAAGTGAATTTTGACAGACGGTTAAACCTGTCATTCAAGCTATCTATCAAACCTCAATTACTCCCCAGTACAGCCTTAGCCTTTGTAAAGATTATGATTCATGGTGCTTGGCAGGAAGGATAGGAAATAAAGCCAGGGGAATCCAGCAGTCCATTTCTTTAACTATTGTTGCATAAAATTGAAGACACCATTTTTTAGTGGCAACCCAGAACAGTATGTACAGAGGCAAAATTGGGAGCAGTGAGGGTTCAAAGTCTAGCAGACAGCATTTTAACTGGACAGCATGGTAATATTTAATGACAGAATAATTTTGACATAGGAAGTCATTTAGCAGCATCTCAGTCTTAACTCATGTACATATCTATACAATTTTTCTAAATTTTCATTTCTGTATTAATGCAGCAATGAACGTCAAAAAAAAAACCTCTTTGCTGAAGGAGTGTTTAAAACCTATTTAACATATCATTCTGTTTTTACAGTAGTCAAGCAGATACCCGTGAGATACTCAGGTTATGAGGACAATAGCAATTGATAATCAGAAGTACACTATTGGTACTGAGTTTATAGCAACTGATGTCCAGCTCTTCTTTAGCAGTCCTATGCATGCATTCTTTTCTATAGAATTTTGGGCAAGTTCTTTTAGATAGGAGAGTTTTTACACTTCATCAATATATTGTACAATCCATTTTGCTTCTGCTTGTAGTGTGGCTTCCTAGAGACACAATGATGAAACAGACCTATGTATAGCAAACCTTTGAAAGTGGATCCATTTAGAAATGAAGATCCTATGATCAAAGCACAAGTGAATCTGGGCAGATTGAGATTAGACCATTAAAAGATATGCAAGTGTCTTAAAAATAATGCCGTAATAAATACAAGTCAACATGGATTGATCAAGAACAAGTCTATTCTAATGTATCCATTTTGAACTAGTAACTTTTTTGGCAAATTGTGTAGTAGATATAGCATGATTTCAACAAAAAAATGGCAAAACATCCCATGATATTCTGATTTACAAGCAAGGAATTGAAAAGATTAAAAGCATTTTCAGATACCTGAACATATGATTAAACTGTTTGCTGAAATTATCTGGAGACAGCTATTCTTGTCCAAACCAAATAATGTAGAAATATTCTGATATGTAACAAAGATCTTGCATAGTTAGATTAGTTTAGTGTGTCATTGAGATATTCTTCATGTAGAAGATCCTTATAATCCAAACAATTGATTCCCTGGTGGTAACCCTCAACTATTTTCTTAAGTTTATTATCAAGGGTAATATGCTACTTCTACTGTTGCTAAATTAATTTTCAAAGAAACAGTAATTGTGGTTGCTTGTGATCCTCTGTGTGTGTGTGTATGCATGTGGGGGTGTTGTCTATTAAGTTTACAGTAATAGATCTACAGAGATAACATCCATAAATGCTTTAAAGACTTCATTTGCATTTGCTGCTCATTGATTGATTGTTTGATTATGTGTCAGTGTCAGCTCTTACCATAGGTAGACCTTCTCCAGGATGATCTGTCCAGACTTAGTTTTTAGGTTTAGGTTTTCCAGTAGTATATCTATCACCAGTGTAATCAAATCAACCTACTTGGCTCATTTCTTTCTTTCCTTTCCTTCCATGTTTCCCAAACCTCTGGATTGATTTGTTTCACTATCCATTTGTTCGTTTTCTTATTTATCTATAGTATTCTTAGGAATCTTCTCCAAAACCAAAATTCAAAAGAAGAAACATTCCTTGTATGCTACTTGTTCAAAGTCCAATCTTCATCTCCATAAAGTGTCACAAAAATATTAAATGCATGATTCTGATCTTTGTAGGTATAAACATACTGAATAACTTTTCTAAGGCCTTCCTTGCTACCTACATAGTGCTAGTTTGTGACATATTTCTCAATTGCTGGTTCTTTTATTATTGATGGTAAATCCTAAAAGACAGAAGCTATCAATCAATTCAATATCTTTATTGTCAAGCCTAAGTTTTACTGTATCCAATATCATTAGTTTGTTCTTTATCTTTAATCTTAGTTCCATTTTTTTTCACAGTGCTTCTTAACTTTTATTAACTTGCAGTTAATAAGTTAACTTGCAGACTAAAATTTGCAACTTCAGCTATCAGAGCAATCTCATCAACTTAATACAAGTTGTTGATGTTCCTGTCTTTCAACACTGATGTTGGAAAAGCTAGTTCATCTTTTTCCAAACAACTGGAAACCTGCTGTTGCATTATAACTAAATTACAAATAACTGAATGAAAACAGCAGTGAAGTGAAATTGCACAGGATGATATCACCTGTAGTCTCCATGTATTTAATACAGGTTGGCCATGAGTTCTACCAGTGCAGCTGACAGGCGGGCCCTCCTTCCCAGCAGCAGAGCTCTCACCAAGGCAGCGAGTGGCACCCCGCTGGGCCCTCCGCTCATCCCGCCAGGGCCGCGCCAGAGCCGTGCAGGCTGGGCAGAGCCAGGAAACACCCACGGCTCGCTTTCCCGGCTCTGCCCAGCCCGCACGGTTCCAGCGCGGCCCTGGTGGGATGAGCGGAGGTTTTTAAAATAATTCGCTTTACCTTCGAAGGCAAAGGGAAGGTGACGACAGGAGCGCCTGAAGCCAAGTGTCTCCTCAGGGCTCCGGTTGCAGGGAGGAGCCCTGACTGGCTGCACTTGGCTGCGCCAAACGCTGCGGCATTGCTCTAACGCCGCGGCAGCAAGGGAGAAGGGAAAGCAACGGTGGCGGAAGGTCTCCCGAACATCCAAGCTGGCACCGCCCGCCCACCCGAGGATGCAAGGGGGGGGAATTAAGTTACCCCTGAAAAGACGGCCTAGCTGTTTTTCGGGGGTCAAAAAAAATAAGGCCCGGCCTTATTATGTGAGAAACATGGTATAGTGAGACAGTCTGCATTTGTATTTTTTTTCTTCTTGATTGGGAACTCCTTAACTTCAAATGTTCTCAGTTGCCATATGAAAAAGAGGATGATATATCTGTAAGGAACCAGAGAATAACAGAGGAAAGTTCCAGCTCATCTTCCCCTGCAGATTCAGACTCTGACGGGGACATGAAATGATCCTTCATCCTGGGAAGGGGCACATATCCTTGACATTTTCAGAGATATGCATTAGGCAGGCTCGACACAGAAGATATTTGTGCTGTAAGGCGTACCTTTACCCAGGTGATGCTGTAACTGTTTGCCAAAATTTTGACTGAAAGAATACTCAAGGTGACAATGAGCAACATTTGAGAAGTAGAATATTTCATACCAGGCAGGGGATGAGCAAACCAGATTTTTGCTCTTCAGCAGAACATTGAGAAATGTATCAATTTAGAGAAAGTTTATGATGAAGCTTGATTTATGGCAGTTTTCCTGAATATGGGAATAGGAAGTCAGCAATCTTTCGAATAAGTTAGAAAAAGATAAGTTAGAATAAGATAAATAAATATCTTAATAGATGATTTAATAGACCTAGGCAGGAAAGCTGAGTGGATGACCTTGGGCCGATCACCTTTTTTTATAGCCCACAAAGTCAGGCTTGGGTGAGAAGCTGGTCAATTAATTCCTGTCACAATCAATGAATCAACACTTGGTTGAGCCTAATAATAATAATAAAGAACCATGCACTTGCAAGAAAATACTAGGAAGAATAGAAACTAGGAGAAAAATATGTGGTGTTCTCTTACTTGTTTAATGTATTTGTACATAAATGTATAAGCAATGCTTCTATGATATATTTGACATAGGGTCATAAATGTGTGTGCATGCAGATGATGCCATACTGCTGACTGAGGGAATGAATTATTGCAGCAAACTGCACGATACAATGAGCAATATTAAAAAAACATTTGTGCATATTTGGGTAAAAGGAGTGATTGATGGCGCATTATGTATACATGGTGAAAACCTCAAGCAAACAGATGAATTTATGGGAAATAAATTGGAAGCCCCTTTACCAAACAAGAGAAAGTGGATGGATATGAAAATGATAGTAGAAAGATAGTAGGTGACATATGGTCTGTTACAAGGAATGAATATTCATTGAAAGATATGTTAATGGATGAGTGCATGATGTGCTTTTGCCCATTTTTTTTTTAATTTGGAAGTGAGAGTTGGGTGCCTCGGGAGAGACATAGAAGGAAGTTGAATGCAATGAGAATGGGATACTAAAGGGGGTGGTAAAACAAGAAGCAACTGTCAAAAATAAATGAGTACTGAATAATATGACCTGAACACATAAGTCAGTGACCAGTATAAAAGACATAAATGGGGTGGTCTGGTCCTCTAGAAAAAAATGAATAAGTGTCAGATTGCAAAACAAATATAAAAGAAAGAATGAAATGGCTAGGAATGAGAGGAAGACTAAGATAATCATCATTAGATGGAGTTGATACAATCCTCAAAACAGGGAGAAGATAAATGTAAAAAACAAAATATAATAAATGAAATGGAGGAATCATATGGTGGAAATAAGAATGATTTTCAGGGAAAGAAAGGTATGCTGACGTGCAATGGATGATATTGGTGTAAACTAGATTTTCTTTTCTACTTCTTATTTCATTTCTTCAAATCACACACACACACACACACACACACACACATTCATTAGCAGTTACAACAATCCCCAAGAAGTTGGTAGCTGATAATATCAGGGGATAATATCCCAGATGGCATCAAATAGCATTTAAATTTTCTTCTTCTACTTGTAGAATCTGAAAGTAAGGAAAGAAACACTTGCAATATTCCTGGTAAGTTATCTATTAATAACAATACAAACTAAAGTTAAAACATGGATTTTACATGTTTTACCATCATGTAGGACTTTTTGTATTGAATTTGTATAAGAATTTGACACTAAAAGATAACTTTGAATGCTTTGACTATACGCCAATTTGCAACTGAGGCTTGCCAAAGTCAGATTCATTCATAATACTTAAATATTTAAATATTTATTGGGTCTTAATTCCACACTTACATACTGTATAATTGCATGATACAACTTTCACAGCAAATGTAATTGACCTAACAACATACACAACTTTAATGTCAAGAACTCTTGCTTTCCATCTCAGTGAAAAGAAAACTTATCTTATCCTCAGTTTGATTTTTTTTAGATGTTCAAACTTAAATAACATTGTTATGAGAATAAATTTTCCTGCAAATAGTAATCATTTTAAAGATTTAATTTTGTGTTTGAATATTGTAAACTGTACAGGCAGAACCTTACTGAATAACTTTCATTGATGAAATCTTATTGATTGGCATTAGAATAGCTAGTACAGTATTTATAGTAACAATATTTCAGTTTCAGAATTGTTTTCAAATAAAAGCTATATTGATAAAATACTTTAAACATGCTGCTTTCTTTCCCAGGATATAAACAGAAGGGAATTCTGGATTCATGTCTCATCCTGGATCCAGCATCGATTATGAAAGATCATGTGTAAAGGAAATCAGTCTGTCATAACAGAATTCATTTTTATGGGATTCACAGATAATCCTAATATGCAGTTCACTCTTTTTATCATCTTCTTCTTGGTTTATATTGTTACAGTAATAGGGAATCTTGGGATGATTTTGTTAATCTGTGCTGAACCCCAGCTTCACAACCCCATGTATTTTTCCTGGGTAACCTCTCATTTGCTGATCTCTGTAACTCCTCAGCCATTGCTCCTAAAATGCTGGTTGATTTCTATGCTGAAACTAAAAAGATTTCATACAATGGTTGCATGATGCAACTGCTTGTATTTGCCTTGTTTGCAAATGTTGAGTGTCTTTTGTTGACTTTAATGGCCTATGATAGGCCATCTGCAATCCACTTCTCTATTCAATCATTATGTCCAAAAGGACCTGTCAAGAACTGGTGACTGTTGTGTATTTGATAGGGTTAGTAAATGCAATGATAAATACTTCCTGTACATTTCGACTGTCATTCTGCAGATCTAATATTATCAATCATTTCTTCTGTGATGAACTTCCACTGCTCATTCTCTCCTGTTCTGATACCTACATCAGTGAGATAGTGATACTTGCCTTTGGCTGCATTGAAGGAATCAGCATTGGAATGATTCTTGTATCCTATGCTTATACTTTGGGTACAGTTCTGAGAATGCACTCTGCCGAGGGTAGGTATAAAGCATTTTCCACCTGTGCTTCTCACCTGGCAGCTGTTGGGATATACCATGGGACTATACTCTTCATGTACTTTCGGCCCAGCTCCAGCTATTCCATGGACCAAGACAAATGGACCTCGTTGTTCTACACAGTTGTGATCCCCATGCTCAACCCTCTGATCTACAGCCTGAGGAACAAGGAGATGAAAGACGCAGTGTCAAAATCATTTGGCCATATATGGATATGGAAAGGAAGAAATATTGTTTTATAATAACTGGAAAGTGTGTACATTGAGGAAAATGATATACAAAAGGTTGAGCTAGATATCCCACGGTATGTTACAGATGATACACCACTAGTGGCAGGTGACCAAAGAGAACAAAGAAATGGGAGCCCGTTGTTAGGGATAACATTGTTTACCCTAACTGGTTTGGGTAAAAATGATAAATAAGGTATCATGGTTTGTTAGTTAAAGTGTGTGTAACTTTAACTGCAAGAATGTAATTAAGGGTGTGGTTGTAAAAGCACTATATAAGAAGCGAGGCAATTCCAGCCCGCTCTCTCTGGCTTACTGATCCCTAATTACTGAATGGATTGATGACTGCGTTCTTGCTGGAACGGGGAGAGATAAAGGAGTGTTTATTTTCTCAACGGAGAGAAGATAAATATTGGACTGATTTATTGTAAGTGTACTGACATTGGCTATTCAACACGGACTTTGCAAATAGAGTATCCCTGACAAGACTTGACTGAAATTGATAAATGACTAATGGACCGTTTATTTGACTATGCTATAATTCTTAAATGGAATAAACAATATTTTTGATAGCACAAGCGTATCTGTATTTTTACTGCGTGTTAACTAAAAAACTTATCTCACACATTTACCTGTCTTCCTATCTGACTTCGCTGCACGTTCTGTTTAGTTTGTTTTCCTTAACACCCGTTGTGGAATCCAGGCTTAACACTGGTTATGGGCCCAGAGAGACTGCAAAGTCAGTTTAACTAGGATAAAAACAGGTTTATGTAAAAAGTGAGATTTTTGTATTGTTACACGTTACAGTAAACAGACAGCTGTGTTTTATCAATTATAGTTTTATATCCATATAGTGAAACATGGCACAAGTCAGTCTACAAAGTTTGTCCCTTATATCCAAGCTGGATGGCACAAACTATGTTTCATGGTCTATGAAATGTAGTCTACTTCTACGAAGAGAAGGTCTGTGGAACATAATTGAAAATCCACCAAACGTAGAAGAATGGGATCCTGAAGATGAGGAAGATAGTCAAAAGATAGCAGACTTTAAACAGAAAAATGAACAAGCACTTTGCATCATAGGACTAACATTAACTGATCAGCAACTTGTTCATATACGCGGAGAGCAAACAGCTGTTGGGTGTTGGCAAAAACTGAGGAGGATTTATGTTCGAGATAACGTTGGTGCTCACATAAATCTAACACGGAAGCTTTTCCGCACGTATCTCCAAAAGAATGGAGATATGCTGAGTCATTTGAATACTATGAAAAGCATTTTTCAAGAACTTCATGAGAAGGAGTTAATTTTCTCTGAACTACACCAGGTCTACATAATTCTATCTTCATTAGACGAAAGTTTTTTTTTTGTTTTTTTTTAAAAACAAGTTTTATTAATTTTCAAAACACACAAATCATCATTATCCATTACACGTTTAAACCTTTTTCCATTATAAATTTAACAAGTCAGATAAATTATAATTCTATTTTAAACCATTTCCATATAAACATACAAAAACCTCTTATTCAATTTCTCTTTACTTCTCTTTACTCTTATTCAATTTCATTATTATTATTTCATCTATTTCTTTCTGACTTAGTTACCATTATTCTCATTCTATATTTCTGCAAGGTTTTATTAATTCTCCCAAAAAAAAAACATATACACACAACACACAAAACATAAAAAAAATCTTTTTGGAAAGTAACTTGGACCCAGGTATCTCTCTCTTCATGGACTTCAATTATATTCATGCTCATCTTACATATCATTACTTATTTTATTTACCATTCTAAGTCTTCTATATTAACTTCTCCACATATTTCACTCTTCTTAATTCTATCTTAATTAATCATCTTAATTTGAGTCATTATATTTGTATCTTTTGTCCATTCTTTATTGTCCCTTTGTCTCGTTCCTTATAAAAAAAAAAAAGAAGTTTCTCCTGAAATCACTAATCAGAGTATGATGCCTTTCTATCTCCCCCCTAAATTAATCAAATTAACCTTTAAAATAACGCCCAATACCCAATCCGATTTTGCTTGGTACATTCTATCTAAATAGTACATCCAGAATAATTAAATACATAGTTAAACAATAGATCTAAATATTAAAAACAAATACTATAATAGAAATTTTATAATAACATCAATACCATAATCTTATTAAACTCTTTAATTAAAACTCAATATTCTAAACCTCCCCTCATATTATTAAATTTTAAAACCAATCATTATTAAACATTTCAACATTTTAATCTCTTATCAACTCTTAAACCATTTAAGTTTTCTATTTCTAGTATAATACTACAATATCATCTTATGTACCTTGCAAAATCTTTTTGAAGAAATTATACTTTATCCTTTATCCCTAAAAAAGATTCCTTTTTTCCCATTTAATTTCAAAACTTTGTAGCTTTTCTCCACTTTTTCCCTTTCTTTCTTCTCCCAACAAACCTTTCTACCCCCCCCCCCCCCC